TGGTTTAGAACTGCTGACCTTATAGTGAAGTAGCACTACTTCTACCCACTGTACCACCAGCATTCTATTTCTGTATTATAGATAATTATTTATATGATCTTAGAATTCCACCAACTTAGACTATATTAACACAGAAACCCTCTGCCATTCCAAATCAGAATCGATTTGATGACAGTGGGCTTTTTGTGCTAATAGATTCTAAGTGGGTGGAATTTGCAGAGGCGATTAATCTTCGTGGAAGCAGGTAGCCTCATCTTTCTCCCACAGAGAGGTGGGTGGGTTTGAACACTTATCCGACAGGGCCATGCACTCAAGATAATGTCAGTACTGTCATTGTTTGCAGAGGTGGGGTAGGATACTCATGATTCCAACCACTGGCTGGAAGTCCTAGTGCCCTCGCTCTTCTGACTCGGTGTTCTTCTCTGATACCCAGGAGCCTTCCAGTGGCGAGGAAAGGATCGATATCGGATTTGTTGTACATGGCTTGGTTGGAAATCCTCACGAAGAACCTTCCTCCTGTCTTACTCGTCAGAGGAAATCACAAAAACGTCCTGACGTTTTACTCTTAAAGAGAAAAGGTTCAAGCGCATTTTAATTTTAGGTATGAATAATTAAGAAAGAAGCTCCACTCTTTATGTTTGAATATGACCTATGTCTATGCAAACCTTGCGAGACTATTCTGTCTGGTTCTATCTTTTTTTTTTTTAATTAGTTAATGGGAGCTTTCTTTTTCTATCAATTTAGGTGCATTTGAGAGCCATTGTGATCCATTCCTAAAAGGAAACAAATGAGTTTGTCATTGATATGGTGAACAAGCAAGGAAGTTAATCAAGTCCATGCTGATTTATGCCAGGAAAGCCACCAACTTGGTTGTACGCTTCTTCAAGCAAATGTAATCGTTTGCTTCCTCCGTGTTTGCTTCTAGAAGCTGAATAGGCTTCAGCCCACAGCAGGTTCTCAATAAATGCTTATTGACAGGCTGGTATAGTAGCCATGGGGGGTTATCAAAGGTAAAGACCAAACTTGGCAGGAAACATTCTTATTCTTGGCCTCCTGAGAAGCTTATACCTACAAAGAAGATTTGAAAATCAATAACTGAAAACTTTAAGCAGTACTGAGTCTGCAAGCATTTAAAGCAGTGCCTAAATCAGGTGTTTAAATGTAATATAGATTACATACTTAGAGCGATCTGAGTGATCATTAATAATATACAGCTTGAATTTGCTGCTGGCTGAAAAGCATATTAGCTGGATTAGAAGAAAACATCCATTGCAACCAAATGAAATATAGTCTCTTCTTAATATACAAACTTCAATTGTCCTCTCTACTAAATATTTGAAGATTTCCATCATAGTACGACTTTGCATATTTTTTCTAATTAAGGGGTTAGCACAGATGAAATCTTTATAGACATCTAATTGAAATTCAAGTACCACAAATGTTCAGATCATTATTAAGACATATACCCTGAATCACACACTCAGTTATTTTATATAGTGATTATATGGGGTTAAATGAACAATTAAAATGAGAAGGAACTTGTTAAATTTGGAACACACAGGTATTGCTTTCCCTGGGTGGCTTACTTTTTATACTTTACCTGTAAGACTTAACCACACTGAGACAACACTAAAAATTTTCTCACGAGTGGCTTGATTTTCCCTCCCTGATATCTTTTGACTGCTAATGATAACTGATGAACTGTACTGGGGGGGGAAGCAATGAACCTGAAATAAAAACATTTTCAAATGTGTTTACTTTGGGCTAGGCCATATTTTCACTTTTCATTCACTAAGATCACGGTGCAATGGTGCATCAGATGGGAGCCCGACATATTCAGTCAGCCGCTTTGTCTGCGGTTGTTGAAAGCTGAGAACAAATGAAGATTAGCACATTCAAGCCCTCATGCCTCAGCTCAGAAAGACAAAAAGGACGGCAGGAGAAACAGTTGTCAACGCAGAAGCAGCTGACCACCCCTGGGTGCAAAGCTGGCCCCCAGAGGCGTTGAGACTCCTCTCTCTCCTAACACCCCTCTTTCTTTGGACTCTTATGTACTTGCAATCCAAATAGATGAACATAGTCTTAGAACCCCCCGGAAAGAGCCCCAGCTCCATCAGGCCCTGATACCTCTCTGAAGCACTGGCCAGGGGCTCCATCGGTGGAAGGTGAAAGAGAATCGAGTTTCTGTAACTGGACATTCCGACTCCTTTCTTCGAGGGGCTGTCAGACTGGGACCCCTGGGAAGCAGATTCTGAGATGGAGTTGTCCTTTGTGGCATGTTTACCAAGGAGTGCCTTTAAGATCAGCACCTGTGGAAGGGAGGAGACAGGTGCAGGAAGGGGTAGAGGGGACAAGTTGAGCTGTGATGGCTGCCAAAGTCCTCCCCCTGGGCTCTGGAGCTCACATGGGCATTCCACGGAAGTCTTCGCCTGGACAGAGTTGGCTTTTCTGCTTCTTTTTTTATTAAAAAACTCCTTTCCCACCAGGGCTAATTAACAGTCCAGCCCTGCCCATGTGATCACTTCCACTAACAACAGCCCCCTAGCCTTTCTCCATAGTAGGATGATGTAGATGTTGATAAACGCTTCTAACTTAGGACCC